CTACTGCTTTTATCTCTTGGTTCGCTTGAATCTTTTGATAAATAATATCAATCGGAAGTGATGAGAAGGTAAATTTGACAAATTAGGTAAATGTTGCTGCAATTTTTACTTTAATTCTCTTATTTCTGGATTTAAGATTATTTTTTTTAGCGTATGGCTACATCACAGGTTCATATATACATATAATATAAATTATATAAATTACAAACAACAGTAAATACAAAAATATTATTCTACAAACAAACATTTAAATTATAAATATATTCGATTGACTCTTTTGTAGCAGCCAGGAAATCTGAAGGGTTGCCCTTATAGGATCTAATCTGGCATTCCTCTACCATGTGTTTTACTGTTTGCCTTTCCGCGCCGCAGTCGCAATTTGGTGATTGTATTTTGTTGGTTGAAGCCCTCAGGTTTGCTTGTAATACATGGCATGTTCCAGTTAGCTGGTGCAGCGTTATTCTCCCATTGTTCTCTCCACCGTTCAGTTACAATAAAGTTTTGATCTACTAGCCTTTTTGCTGTTTTTAGAGGCGGGTGTCTTGAACGGAGCCTATTTATGTCTCTGGCGGAAGTTCCGACATGGGAGCGGAGCTCAGGATCAGTATTGATTTTTGTATATTCTCTGACAAGGGCATGTTCCCGGCGGATGGGTGGTGGAGCTATATGACTCAAAGCTGGTAACCAGTAAGTGGGCGTGGCCTTGATTGTGCATGGCTTGGTTGAGTTGGACATCAACACAACGCATGGATTTAAGAACTGAATTAAAAAATGATTGATGAAACATGCCATTTAAAATTCATTTTTTTAGATTCGTATTTAATTTTTTTTCCTAAATATATGGATACCGTATGAGACGAGCATGGTAAAAGGTTTCCGAAGGATCTATTGCACATTGAAAGAGGCTATAATATGAAATAACCAACAGTTATAATAGTAATCGATTGTTTGTTTTCTGTTGGTCGAAATATCAAGAAACTCCCATGGAAGCAATCGAAAATAATTAAAAACGACTGTACTAATTCCTAGATAAATCCTAGAGAATCTACTGTCTTACTCACTAGAAATCAAAAATACAATTAAATCGCTAAGGAGAAATAAATTCCCAGACATTGATTCAATACCAAGTGAAATACTACAGTTACTAGGTACCACAGGATTACATATTATCCATTCTATCTGTATCGCTGTTTGAAATTCAGGAAAATGACCATCTAATTGGTGTACCTTAATTTATATTTCACTACACAGAAAAGGAATTGCTTCCAGATGTAAAAACTACCGCATACTGTCATTAATAACACATGTTAGTAAAATCTTGTTTTACATCATCGAAAAACTGTTTAAAAACCTATCTACATTACCAAATACCTCAGGAACAAACGGGGTCTGTAAAGCGTAAAGGTACACGGAAACTCATCCTGAACCTGAGATAACTCATTGAAAAGTCCTCTGAATTTCAAGTACCTATGATTAAATGCTTCGTTGACTACCAAAAGGCACTTAATTGTGTAAGCTGCATAAGTCTTGCTGGTGACACTTATAGTAGCAAATTACCAAGAAATGTTTAATCTCTTGCGAAGAATTGAGTACAAAAGCAATAAAGGTGGTCTAAAAATCAATAAAGCTAAGACAAAAATAATGGGAATCGATATATTTCACACTACTCAACTGACTAACATGTTACAGGAATACCAGACAATAAACAGCTTTTGTCTATCTCGGATCTAGGATAACTAACGATAATAACTGTGAAGCAAAAGTTACGTAAAAAGAAACGTATTGTCATGCTGTCTGTCTGTCTTGGCTCATAGGATAAACATTTTTATTCTAAATTAACTCAAGATTTAAAAAAGGCTATCAGCAATATGTCTCCAACGTATTCTGCAATTTTTCGGTTACGTGTTTCACAGAGATAACGATAGTTTGGAGAGAATAATTGTTTCTGGAAACGTTCCGGGGAGAACATCAAAGGACATTCAGCTCAAAAGTCATTCTGCGAAGCTCTCAGAGCAGCTGAAGATAAAGACCAATGGAGAAAAATTGTTAGGAGTATTGAAAGAAATCACAATCCTCAGTAATGATCAAATGGCAAAAGAGAGAGTATTAATTGCTATAATTCTCAACCTCAATATTAAAAACCATTACCAGTATCTTAACACAATCGTTAGCAACTACTCCCACTTTAACCCCACTTTTCAGGCGTAGAGACAGTTTTAGAATAGCAAACAAAAAACGCTCTCTCTTGACGTTCTTACCGAATAGAAGTGCTGTTCGGTCTCTCACTCGATTGTTGACTCCCGGTAGCAATAGACCCTTATTGCGAATGCTCTTGACTTTTGAATAGTATAGAGAACATACGCAAATATACTTTATCTATTTGATCTTACTCTTAGTACCGGTGCTTTTAGGCGCTAGCTGGTTTGTCTTTAGTTTCATTCGTGAAGAAAAATGATGCTAGATAAAAAGTATATGTTTTACCTCTCCATGTATTATTGACGCAGGGGTAAAGAACCATAGACTCAACTGTATAATAGTTTGTATATTATACTCATTAGAGCAATGAGGCAGTATCTTTAAAAACTGTTGATGTCTTTCTGGGTTTTAAAACTGCAACGATTCCTTTTTTGTACACATGAATTGGTAAAGAGTTTGCTTGCTTTAGAGTATTGCACTATCGTAAAAAAGTGTAAAATTGATCCAAAGAAGCAAAATTGATAATTGCGAATGATTTTGAATATTATAATTTTCCCCAAAATTCAAGAAGCCTAACAAACGGTCGAAAGCGTCGCTTTAGTAGGTAAACGCTAGCGTAAAACCTATGATTGCCAACTTAAAGTTTTATCTTAACGTATTCATTATCATTTCACGTTTCGTTTGGCGTCTCATACGTTGCAATCGGATAAATAGCAAAGAAGAAACGATATAGGGTCATTTTAGCATTATATTTGCATTTTAGTTTTGTCATATCATATTCGTTATAACCTTCCCTTTCCATTGATACCTTGCACATTGTTGTAAGTTGAGCCGTTTAGATGTTACAAGCTTAGTGTCCTTTTGGCTATGAGCCGCCATGTTTTTTTTATATCTACATATTCTTTGGCCCCTCCCCTTTCCATCGATATCTCACACGTCACGATCTGATCGATAACAACAGAGATATGATATAGTGCCGTTTTGGCAATGCCGCTATCTTTGCTTTTCTGTTAACGTATTCGTTACCCCCACATCTTTGCTACGATACCTTAGTTAGATGTTACAGATTTGTGCTCGTAGCCATGCTGCCCTTTTACTACTAAGAATATAATTAAAAGTATATTATTTTATGGAAAAAAGCTTGTTTTAATTATGGCTATATTTTTTATAAGTCTCTTTAGCTTCATAATTTTCCGGTGTCTGAAAAAAACTACAAGAAAATGTGCGATTTTAACTTAATTGGATACCTTAATAGCTACATTTTCTCTGTCAACATATGTAAACACTTTATTTTTCAGGGTATTATAATCTATGCGTGAAATTTAAAAATTTACAATAGGGCTAATTTGATCAGGTCTGTGGTGCGAAATTGGCAAACTTTATATATTTTCAGCACTATAAGATTTTGAAGAAATTTTATATTCGTTATATATCTTTTTTTGTGATCTGCCAAACTTCTGCCCCATAAGTCATAATAAGCTCTACCAAGGTTCGATAGATTGTCAATTTCGTTTCTTGATTAATATCTTTAGACCATAGTATAGAGTTTAGAAGGTTAACCGTTTTTGTTCCCTGTTGCGTTCTGTTTTCGATGTTTCTTTTGGTAGTGCCTTCTTTAGATATTATAGATCTGAAATATTTATATTCCCTGCATGTTTTTGTATTTCTAATTCCTTCTAATTCTGGATCTTCTTCATCATCTCCTAATTTAAGATACTCTGTCTTTGACATATTCATATTGTGGCCCCATTTTTCAATATTCTTTCTTTAGTTTTCTAAACATGTAGTCCATGCCTTTCTCTTCATTCGCTACGACTACCTGATCATCTGCAAAAAATAAAGTTGTTAGACATTTACAATCGCCTATGTCTATTCCCATTACGGATACTTGTTTCCTCCACTGCTCTAGCGATGATTGAATATATATTTTAAATAAGGTCGGAGATAGACAACATCCTTGTTTAAGCCCCTTTGTTATTGGAAATGATTCAGATATAAAGTTTCATTCTTTAACGACACTTCTTGCATTTTTGTATATATTTGCGATAGCATCCACATACTCTCTACTAAGACCTACTTTCGTCAATGTTTGAAAGAGTTTTTTCAAATGTACCGTATCGTATGCCTTCTCTAAATCTACAAACAATAGGTGGGTAGATAGATTCCTTGCCTTCCGTTTTTCGATTACCTGCTGCAGAACGAATATACCATCAGTGTACGATCTTCCTGCACGAAATCCATTTTGTTCTTCTATGTCTTCGTATTCTGATTCTATTCTTTTTTTATTATTATTCGACCGTACAACCTCCCCACTGAGCTGATAACAGTTATTCCCATATAATTAGAGCATTAGCGTTTATCCCCTTTCTTGAATATTGAGCTGATATATCCAATATTCCAATCATCAGGGATATTTGGTCCTTTTGAGCATTTGTTAAATAGTTGAACCAACATCTCATGTAATATTTTTGGTCCATACTTTATCAACTCAATTGAAATGTCTCCAGGTCCTGCTGCTTTACCGTTTTTTGAACTTTTGAGGGCATCGTTGAACTCTCGTGTTGTTATCTCATCTCACTTATTTGTATGTGTTCGGATATTTCTTCCATTTTGATATCTTGGAATTTACATCTATTTAATATAGGGTAATAAAGTTTTAAATAAAACTCACTTAATGGCGACGTAAGACAACTGGGGTTATTGGTCAAGAGATGTAATCTCTATAAGGATCTTTAGGTCGCAACAAGTACCTTTAGGTAATAGTTGCGATCATTGTACTTAGTGAAGTCTTCGTTTAATTTTAGGAACGATACGGCTACTGCATTCACACTAGACATGCATCCAAAACTCGGAGATCCAGTGGAACAATTTGGTATTGAAATTGAAGACGAAGACGATGAAGACGTTACTGATTTTAAAAAGAGATTTAGGCTTGGTATGCTTAAAAGGCACGGAGTGGACATTAACGAACTGGAAACCAAAGATTTAAGATGTGGTGGAATCGTTTTGGAAGCCAACGGAACTACAACATCGCTGTTACGAAATTATACTGATGATTGTATTTTACAGAAGTGTCAATTCAGATCAGGTAAAGAAATATTTTACAAAATAACATTCTGTGCTTTTTTTATTAATTTTTTGTTTAAATTGAGAACACTCCAATTATTTCTCCTAAGAAATTATTGTTAAATCATTCCTTATTTTAGGTGGTCCTAAAGTATGCCCTCCAGACTACAAAGCAGCTGAACCCATAGTCTTCTGGATTTATGGTGGACTTCGTTTCCTAGCGACAATGATGCAACTAGCAGCCACAACTATTATGGATCCCGTAGCACTGTCAATGATAGAAAAGCACGGTGGTGATTTTGGTAAAGAAAGGCTATTTTCTTGCTTTGGAATGGCAATATTTGCCCCCATAACAGGAGCCTTAATCGATTGGTATAGTCAAAAAGTCGGCCATACTGATTATTCACTTGCATTTTATTCTTTTGATTTTTTGCTAATAGTTGCATCTTTGTCATTGTTTTTTATGCCGTTGGATACAAAATTACCGTCTGATAATATGTTCAGCGACTTAAAGAAGATTTTGAAAATGCCAGCGTTGATATTGGTTGTGTTCTTTTTGTTCCTGTTAGGTAAGTTGTACCTTTATTTTGAGTATTTTTAAAAACTATTTTCTGATTTGTCTGAATTCCTTAGCAAGATCAACTGAAAATATCTGTAGAAGTTGATAACAGAAAGGGTACCCCCTAGTTAAGATATGTAAAATGCTTCTACTCTCATTATTCTTTTCATTTTTTACATTCTATGTGAATAGAAAAAAATAAGATTCGGAGCAATTTGATCCCTGTGTATTTTTGATAAAGCATTTATTCATGCTGCCCTTTTTTAGATGACTGCATTTTTGTCTAATTTTGTTCTGTTTTCAGTATTAAATCAAAAAATGTATTTCTGATTTTTTACAGATTTTTTGTCAGATGTATCATCTCCAAAAACCCGAAAAACTGGTTTTTTAGAGATTTTTGAGGATTTTCCCCAATTTTTTAGAGATTTAAATAAATAAATTTAAGGTTTTTACTACATCAAAATAAGTTTTTTAGGATATTCAAAAATTGAAGCATAGACTTAATAAAAGAAATTAAATCAGCTTGAAAAAATGTTAAAAGTGAAAGATTCAAAAATTGGAATTTTATTTTTATTGAGTTAATGCCTCGACAACTGTGATCATTGGCATGGTACAGTCAGGTACCTAGTGTAGTGTGTGTGTGTATGTGTAGAGTAATTGTCTTGATACTTAGCAAAGTCGACGTCATTGTCTTTGCTAAGAGACGCTAATTGTATCCGAACGTCTGCGGTCCCTCCGGTGAGTACCGATCGCACATGGATAGAAATTATTTTCATTCATTAATTTTTAATAAACGAAAATTTCTCTACCCAGATGGGATTCGAACTCACGACCTTTAGGTTTAAAGGTAGGCGGCCTTACCACTGAGCCACAGAGGGGGAAAAAATTGGAATTAAAATAAACAATAATTTAAAAAAAAATAATTTTTTTAGAAACTTACTGAGGTAGCTAACGTTTGTGTGTAATTTTTGTGAAGAAATAGATTTAGAACCAATATTTTTGTGAATTTACAATCACAATTAAATCTTGCACAAGTACTTTCACTTTCTAGAGCATCTTCATGGGCATTTCGTCAAATTTGGCCTATCCAACAATCTATCGAGAATGTCATAAACATAAAATTGGTTTCCATCAGGGGAATAATACATAAGGGCTTACCAGAAAAATTTAAAAGAATAGAAAGAAGTACATCACAACAAAATTGAAAATATCCAACACAGTAAGATCTGTCCTATTCAAGACCAAATCCAACATAGATTTCAATAAATCTCAGATATGCAAACATATTATGTTGCTTTTTGCAAATACGATTACCTTTATATAACATATATAGCCATCAGAAAGGAACGAAAATATATATGTTTAATCTTGCACTAACTGGTTTCCCCTTTCGCATTATGTATGTATTACTACCACAGAAAAATAATTACCCAGAAAACTATAAATATACAACTATATTTTAAAACAAGTAAAACTAAAAGACAAATATACATAAACACACATACAATCACATATAATAAAATATAAGCTACAGCTACAAATTTAAATATTATGTGATACCAAAACATATATTTTATTTAAAGGTAAAATGAAATGAAACCTTCTCGCAGCAGGACTATAGATCGCAAAGAAAACAAGGACTAAAGAAGACAAAATAAGCAATGAAACTAAACAGCTAATGACTAAAAGAAGACAACTACTAGCGCAAAACAAACGTCATACTCAAGAATATAGAGAACTTAATAAAACAATTGGAAAAGAACTAAAACGCGACATGAAAAAATGGAACGAGAACTTAATAGAGCGAGTCATTGAAAACAACAGAGGCTTAAAATGTCTAAGACCTGCACAGGGAGTTCAAAAAATGATCAAAATTAAAGACGGCAACAACAAGGTAGAGAAGGACATATATAAAATAAGAAATATTGTCGAAGACGACACATCCTTGTACAGCTCACAAGGCCAGCTTAATGAAACAACAAAGGAGAACGTCAAAAGAAAAATAAAAAACGTGGTATCAGAAGGACTACTAAATATACAGAGATACGAAATAGAAAAAACTTTAACAGAACTAAAAAATAATAAAGCTCCAGGACACGACGATATAATTGCCGAGCTCTTGAAAACAAGCAAGACATTAACAATCCCTGTACTAACAGAGCTATTTAATAAATGTCTCCATAATAGCCAGATCCCTAAAGACTGGAACGAGAGTCTAGTAATACTCTTACACAAAAAAGGGGACAAATGTGATCTACATAATTATAGACCTATATCGTTGCTCAGTCAAGTATACAAACTATTTAATAACCGGTTAACCTACAAAATGGATAACTACCTACCAGTTGAACAGGCTGGCTTCCGCAAAGGATATAGTACACCAGACCATCTGCTGACAATGAGTACATTGATAGAGAAGGCAAATGAATACCAACTACCCGTATTTCTTGCCTTCGTCGACTATGAAAAATTGTTTGATAGTATCGAGATGTGGGCCATATAACAAGCTATTAATAGTTGTAGAATAGACTCGAGATATAGGCAACTAATACATAATATATATGACAATGCAACTATGATAGTACAACTAGACGAAAATACAAATCCCATCCCCATTAAGAGAGGAGTGAGACAAGGAGACGTAATATCGCCAATGCTTTTCAACCTAGCCCTAGAAGACGTCTTCAAAACTACAAATTGATCAACATATGGCATTAACATAAATGGCAACAAGTTAAACCACCTCAGATTCACTGACGACATAGTGATCATAGCGAGCATATTCGAGGATCTGCAAATTATGTTGGGGGAACTAGCAGCCAGCTCCCAATACGTCGCCCTAAAAATGAATATGAAAAAAACAAAAATAATGACAAACACAGAAGACTCCAGACATACAACTATAAACGGCAGTGAGATAGAACAAATCGAGGAATATATCTACCTAGGCCAAATCCTGAGACTTGACAAAGAGAACCAAAGTGAGGAAATTACTAGAAGAACAAGACTAGCATTGGCAGGATTTGGACCACTTAGTTGGATACTTAAGAACCGCAAAATACCCCAATACTTGAGGAGCAAAGTGTTCAACTAATGCATCCTTCCTATCATGACATATGAATGTCAAACCTGGACCCTAACCAAGGCAAACATGAATAAACTAGCCACAACAGAAAGAACAATGGAAAAAGCAATGTTAGGTATACGACTGTCAGATAAAAAGAGGAACGACTGAGTAAGATCCAAAACAAAAGTCGAGGACATAACAACAATAATGAAAGAAGAAGAAGAAATGAAGAAGAAGAAGAAACGTAACTCAAAGGTAATAAAATCATCAATAAGACACAAATACTTTATAATTAACGTTAATATTTTCGAAATGAACGTAAAATGTTCTATTAAAGCTCAGTTCAAACGCATAAGTGGTTTATCTAGCACGAAAAATATACACTCGCCGAAAATGTATCAAACAAGTAAACGGTACTTGCCATGGAACAGGAACAAACAATGTAAAAGAATGACTAACCTTGAATCTCAAAACATCGTATTCGGACAAATCAGGCACAATCCGAGTCTCTCTTGAGTTGAGTCGCTTTTATTTGAAAAACAGCTGTATATATGACAAATTGGTGAGGGTGACTCTCAGCGCTGAAAACATAGGTGAAAGCAGCAGTCTATACAGCTTAATACTGAAGTGTTGCGCTCTTCTAATTTAATTCTTACTACCCGCCTTTTGATAGGGTTTCGGTACGATGTTAATTTCTTATATAGTCAATATTTGTACAAAGATGCCAAACTGCAACACACAGGACAACGAGCATATAGTACAATGAAAAGATGTATCAATAATCATTAAAGAAATAGTCAAAAATAGGAGAAAACCCATAGACAGGTCATCTACAATTTAAACATAATACATATGAAACACACAATACACAAACATATTACCTACTTAAAAACACATTACATAATTTATATATATATATATATATATATATATTATATATATATATATATATATAAAAATAGTCAGAATTTGATATTCCGAGGATCAAATCACCACCCCCAAATTATTTTTCATAACTATAAGTATGCTATTGCAAGATTGAGGCCAACCACCAATTTTAAAAAACAACCTTCTGACAACTTCATGGTTAAACATTTTTTTAGAATTTTTAAATTAATATTTTTTTTTTAAATATCAAACAATAGTTAGTTAAAAATGTAATTTTCATTACAATGAATTGTGAATTAATCCTATTACTACTAAACCCATACTACTTAGGTTAAAATTCACTTTTAATTTTTAATGTTTTTTTTTATTAGGTAATTTATGGGGTTTCATAGAAAGTTTCCTGTTTTTCTACTTAAAAGATCTGGGAGCTCCAAACTATTTATTGGGAATAACTGTTACAGTTGGTACAATGAGTAGTGTACCATTTCTTTATGGCTCCGACAAAATAACTGGCACCATTGGGCACGTAACTGTGGTTATCTTGGCGTTCTTTGCTCACGCTACTCGGCTTGTGGGTTATTCGTTAATCGAGTAAGTAAATTTTTATAGCACAAAATACAGTGAAGGTATAGTAAATATTTAAAATATTATATCTTTTAAATATTGGCAGATAAATTCGGTAAACAAGTTAATACAGTTTATATATAAAATAATTTATAGCATCAAGAGTACGATAAAATTATTAACAAATATAGTACCTACAATTTACGGAAACCATTAACTCTTGGAGGCCCTGAAGACTATCGCATAAAATAATATTGTCGTCAGAATATCTAAGATCAGCTCACCATTGATTTTTATATCAAATAATAGTGAGGATAGAATCCATTCCTGTTCTTCCCCCTTCCGATATAAGTTTCTATGATACGTAGGTTTCTACCATCAATGCCTTTGGTTTTAAATTGTTTAAAAGCATTCTATGCACCTATAGAAACCCTGTGGAAAGCTCTTTTGTAATCGATAAAAGCCACATAAATATCATTACGTAAGTTGGAGCATTTAAGTCAACATTGCTTTAAGGGTAGCCAGCGCCAGTGGCGGCTCGTGACATCTGCTATAGGGTGTGCTGCATGAACCACGGTCAATATAAAATAATAGAAATAGAATAACATACGAAAACAAAAACAATAAAATTAGCTTTAATACTAATTAATAGTAACTAATAACGACATGCTATAAAAATCTGATTAACTTACATTTATTGCATTTTTCTAAATTGGAAATTAATACGCCGGTCCTTTTTTGTCGCAAACTTTTCGATTACTTTATCGTTAAAGTTCGGTATTGAAGCGATGAACTTTTTTCTATCGAGAGTGTGGAAAGGGCTGTTAATCTGTCTTCGCACATTGAATTTCTTAAAAATGTTTTGATCCGTTTTAAAGTTGAAAAACTACGTTCAGCTTCTGCTGTGGTCATTGGCGTAGTCACCAGAATTTGTATCAACTTTTTGGTTTCTGTTAATGTGTCCTCTAAATTATTAGAAATTATAAATTTTAGTAAAGGCACTGCACCTTTTAATGTTCTACACTCGATATTGGAATACAAAACTGACAGTTCTGTTCGCAAACGGTTTTTATCAAAGAAGTTATAAGCTGTACAAGTTAAATCCAATTCATTTTCAGGAAACTTATTATTATATTTTTCGAAATTGTTCTGAAGATAAAAGTGTTGCGGCAACTAGATGATTTGTATATGCAAACCGTTCTGTTTTTCGTCACCTCTTCATTGTGTTTTTGTATATTTATCCAATAAGCAGAGTCAAGTTGGGCCTGTATATTAAGTTTCCCAAATAATGCAAATCGCATTTCATTGTTCATATGAGTTTGCGTGTTTTCATGCTTCTTTATTTTTTCACTTAAATGCACTAGATCCCGCACTCCTGTCTCGCGCCACAATTTTTCCTCTTTATCTGCGCCGAATAATGCACACGGAAAACAGAAAAAAGCATTTTTTTCGGAACATCCACAAATCCACTGATTTCGTAGATACATGTCTTTATTAAATTTACGCGTATATGTTTTTCCACGGCTTTTACCGGACACTTCAATATTAAGATCAGGCATAGGACGGCCACGTTCTTTTATAATCAACTGTTGTTGATAGTGAAGTTTTTGAAATTTATTTACACCTAATTTAAATTGAAACTCCATTGTTTTAAACACGCTCGAACAAAACAAATTAAACAAATTGTAACCTAAGAATTTCTAAACACGGCACAGATGCAACGGTCACGAATAACTGTCGTGAATTGCAGCTCGCAAACACATTTCCGAGGCCGTTAATCAGCCGATTGCCGAAGCACATCGGCTAAGATCGCCGTTTGCCTAATAAATGCATTTTACCGCTGCCAGTGTTTCGGTTGTTATCGACGCGGCTTCACTGGAGCAGCAAATACGTAAAAAGATTGCTTCACTGGAGCACCAAATACGTAAAAAAATTATACGGTTTCACTAGAGGAGTAAATACGTAAAAAAAATAATATTAATCATCGTTGTTGGTGAATTATTATTAACAGTTGATGTTTAATATGATAATATGGCAGATTTGAAATAAAACTATATTAATTATTCTTTAATAATTAAGATTTGCTATGGTTGTTTGGTAGTCCTGCAGCTCAGCAGCACATAAAGAAAAGCCGCCACTGGCCAGCGCGTTCCTAAATATAAATTTCGTAGTAGAGGAATCTGCAAAATCTGCACCAATCTGCAAAAGGTGAGGAACAAAAAGAAAAAGAATAGTCCACATGCGTTAACAGTCACACAGTTCATCTCTTTCTCATTTAATTAAAGTAGAATTACTTCGTTTTCAAACTTCCACAAAATTTATTTTAAATCTTATCACTACAGCTGTTTCAGCTAATTGCCTTTCTCAAGTGATCTATTTTTGGCTTGGGTTTACAAATTTATAGTCTCTAATGAAATAGGTTGAGGAGGGGAAAACTGTTTGTCTCAAGTTGGTCATTCAGAATTATATCTGTGTTTTTTAATTTGTTGATTTCCATAGATTCTAACAAAGATAGCTTAAGGCCTTTATTTTAAATGTGAAGAATTTTAAATTTGGCATTAAAAGAATGATTATGATCTAGAAGGTGAAGTGCGTACGTCGAATCTGTTTTTCTATTCTTGAAAGCCCTTTTATGTTCTGCTATTCGTTTATCAAAGTTTCTACCAGTTTGACCGATGTAAGTTTTTGGGCAGTCGCCACATTGAAGTTTGTAAACACCACTATTTAAGTGCTTTTTTATTTTGGCTCTTGTAATTTTTAATATATTTGCCTAGGTTGTTATTTGTTCGGAAAGCTGGTGTTATTCCTTTCTTTTTTATGTGTTTGGAAATTTTTGTTGTTATTTTGCCTGTATATGTAATCGGTATAAGCAGAAGGTACTGGATTTTTTCTCTGGTGGTGGAAATACTAATTTCAGGGCTTTCTTGAGTAGTTTTTGATTTAACATTTTATTAATTGTTTGTTCGTTGTACTAACAGGCAACTCGACCAATTTTTATCGTATATTAATTTACTTCATAGTCATATTGAATTTACAATAGAAACAGAGCAAAATCAATCCATAAATGTTTTAGATTTAAAAATTAGCAGACTTTAAAACAAACATGACTTCTCCATATTTCATAAACCTACCCATACTGACACGACTATACACAATTCATCATCCCATCCAACACAACATAAACTGGCAGCTTATCATAGTATGTTACATAGATTAACAGAAATTCCGATGTCAAAATACAACTTTGAGACAGAATTAAATATAATTAAGCAAATAGCAGTAAACAACGGATACAACGAACAAACAATTAATAAAATGTTAAATCAAAAACTACACAAGAAAGCCCTGAAATTGGTATTTCCACCACCAGAGAAAAAACCCAGTACCTTCTGCTCGATTACATATACAGGCAAAATAACAACAAAAATTGACAAACACATAAAAAAGAAAGAAATAACACCAGCTTTCCGAACAAATAACAACCTAGGCAAATATATTAAAAATAACAAGAGCCAAAATAAAAAACACTTAAATAGTGGTGTTTACAAACTTCAATGTGGCGACTGCCCAAAAAACTTACATCGGTCAAACTGGTAGAAACTTTGATAAACGAATAGCAGAACATAAAAGAGCTTTCAAAAATAGAAAAACAGATTCGACGTACGCACTTCACCTTCTAGATCATAATCATTCTTTTAATGACATTTAAACTTCTTCACATTCAAAATAAAGGCCTTAAGCTATCTTTGTTAGAATCTATGGAAATCAACAAATTAAAAAACACAGATATAATTCTGAATGACCAACTTGAGACAAACAGTTCTCCCCTCCTCAACCTATTTCATTAGAGACTATAAATTTGTAAACCCAAGCCAAAAATAGATCACTTGAGAAAGGCAATCGGCCGAAACAGCTGTAGTGATAAGATTTAAAATAAATTTTGTGGAAGTTTGAAAACAAAGTTTTCAGTGTTTTATTGTTACATAAAATGAATTTCCATCAAGTAACGGTCGCATCCATCAATTAGAATTGCTTCCTTTAATGTCTCACTGATAACTGATAATGGTCGTATCACATCAAAAACATTTTGAAAGTTTGTAATCCCTTCGGATATTATTATTATTATATTTGAACGTACCAATTGTATATAATAGATATTATAGTTTAACAATAAATTCAATCTCTTCTACAAATTTTATTTTTTATTTATTCTAGGAGTCCATGGTGGTGTTTTCCGTTCGAGGCTTTGGAATCGATAGCAGTACATTTAATGTGGGTAGCAGCTGCAACATACTGCGCTGTGTTGGCACCCAGAGGCTTACTAGCTACGTTATTGGGCGTGTGTGCAGTAGCACATTATAGCGTTGGAAGAGGTAGTGGCAGCTTTATCGGTGGTCACATTATTGCAAAATTCGGAATTACAACTGCTTTCCGGATAATGGGAATGTTTGCAGTATGTTCCGGATTGTCGTATGCATTTTTGAACTTAGTGTGGTTAAGAAAGGTTGAAAAACGAGAACAAGATCGTAGAGGTAGGTTAGATTTTAAATAACTATTAATAGAAAATACCTTATAGTCATACAATAAAGGATTAACTCAAAAGGCTATATTTTTCAGGAAAAGTAACCACGTAGTAATCCTACGTGTTTAATTCTGTCAGATTTTATAAAAACTTTATTGATCTGTTTTTATCAAAACTAATTTTATAATCCAATGTATTAATGCAGTTCCCATCCACTCTATGACCTTACAGCCCCATTCAAGCCCTAGCCTCCTTTATGAAACCTTTTCATTCGTTACGGTTGTAACGGGTAGCTCTTTCAGGACGACAGACTCAGTAAAACACAGGTTAAAATAAAAATATGTCTATTGATCTAATATATGTACAATATAAACGAAAATAAAATAAATTCTGTGCCGTATAAAAATAAACGTAGAAATTAACTCTGCGCTCCGTCTGGATCCCGCGATGAGTGAATCCCCGGCGGACGTCTATAAAAGAAAGAAAGAAAATAATTATTAATAACAAATAAAATAGGTGTAGTCAATCGCACTCAGACGTATATTCGCTTCCGCTTCAAACCAGCGGGAGCTGCGAACACACTCGTCAACTATAAAATCGCTTATGCAGGTCCGCGATAAAGTTCAAGACACGATATCGGTAGACTCTGCTTAATTATGGACGGAGCATGAACTTCAAAGCAGAACTACCTCCGTCCGGGTGGGCTCGCCAGTTCAGGACACTGGCGAAGAGAGGAGCCTAAGGCGCTAAGCTAAAGACTGACTAAATGCCGCTATTCATATGCCTTAAATAGTTGCTCTGAACCCCACTCACATCGTGCTAAGGAGGTGGAAGCGCCAACGCTGACACTCCTACGGTTCAAGCTGTTGAACGGTGATGACATCGTTACACCCCCTTCTCTTTGGAAAAAAAAAAGTTGCATACCTTTTTTTTGTATATGGCGTCTACAGCCTTGTAATGCCATTTATCCCTCTTGAATCTTTATTACGATCTTCTTCCCGTTGTTGCAGTACAATCTGTATCTTTTGGTCCCCCTCTCTATTAGGTGTTGTGGGACGATTTCTACAAGATCGGCGTGTCTCCCGGGTTCTGGTTCGCCTGGAGTGGATGCCGACTGTGATTCAGGTCCGGTTATCGTATCGGGTGCGCTTTTCTTCTTCGGTGGTGTTGGTGGCGTCCCAAACAGTTCGTGGAATCTTTTCAACATTCTCTCTGCGTCTTTTCCTGGTGTCACGGGCAGTTCGGGTTTCTCTGGCGTTCCAGAGGGGTCATCTGTTTCTGGTATCTCTAGTATGTCTTCCATTGTTAGATGTGGATGAACTGAATTTTGCTTGCTAGCACCGCTCTTTAAATACCGTTTGGTTGTGGTGGGGATTCGATTTGTGTAATGACATTTTCCCCCACCCAAGGTTTTAAATCTTTTACGTGTGCCGTTATCTGTTTGCGGGTATTTCTATCGGCCAATTTCAGTTTTACTATTACCGGTGATATTACTGACGTTACTACGTATGGCCCTGAGTACTTCGGCGCTAGTTTGCTGGTGAAACCTGCACTCGCCGACGATAGATGGTGTTCCTTTTTCATGACTCGATCTCCTGGATGTGGTCGCCAGTCTCTTCGTCTTAGATCGTAATGTTTCTTTTGGTCCTCGAAAGCGTGTTCCATGTGCACTTTCGCCAGTTCTCTTAACGCTTCTAACTTGTTCAAGTTTTCTGCATACCCCTGTATATCTTGTCCACTTGTCGCCTCTGTTGTGTCTAATTCTCTTCCGAAATTAAGCAGCGCTGGTGAAAACCCTGTTGAATCGTGTCTTGACGAATTTACGGCGTAGCAGAATTCTGGTATGAATTGTGTCCCAGTCTTTATGGTTATCTTCTACGTATGTGGCTATCATCGTTTTCAGTACTTTGTTCATTCGTTCTACTGGATTGCCTTGAGGTGAGTACGGCGGTGTTAGAATGTGATTTATTGTTATAGGACTTTAGGAACGCCTTGAAATTGCTGCTTGTGAACTGCGCGCCGTTGTCCGAAATGATTTTCGTCGGGATGCCGAACTGCATAATTACCTTCGATCGTAAAGTGTCGATGATGGAGTTCGTAGATGCTGCTCTTATTGGCTGGGGCAACGACCCATTGGTAAACCGTCTTGCGCGACTATTAAGAAAATGTTTCCTTTTGCAGATCTTGGGAATGGTCCCATTAAATCAACTGAGACAGTATGCCAAGGCTTTTCTACAGTGGACGGTTGCATTTTCCCGGCTGGTTGCATTTGAGACGGTTTATATTGGAGGCACTTCGTACAAGCTCTAACGTAGTCTGCGATTTGTTTAAACATCTTAGGCCAATAGTACTTTTGCGCTATTCGGCAAATTGTTTTTGCAATTCCTAAATGGCCTGCTGTGGTCGAGTCATGATTTTCCTCCAAAATATCTTTCCTTTTATATCTTGGTACGCATAACTTCCATGGGTTATTAAACTCTGGGTCGGCTAAATTACGGCTGCTCCAAATGTGTTTATTATAACTTCCCGTTTGTTATTTGTAGATCCGGGAAATCGTCTGGGTTCTGGAGTACATTTCTATATAAATTATCGTACCAACTGCATGATTCCAATTCTGATGCTAATAATTCCAACTCTGGTTCTTCGCTCTGGTTTTCCTGTGGTTGTCGTGATAAAGCATCTGCTACCTTGTTGAGGACTCCCTTTCTATATATTACCTCAAAATCGTACTGTTGCAGTTCTAAACTCCACCTGGCTAATCGACCTGACGGGTTTTTAAGGTTCTTCAGCCATTTGAGGGACTGATGGTCTGATATGACCTTAAAATTGTATCCTTCTATATATGGCCTCATTTGCTTTATCCCGTATACGATGGATAGGCATTCTTTTTCCGTTGTGGAATATTTTGTCTCGGCCGGTGTGAGGGTTCGACTAGCATATGCGATTACTTTATCCTGGCCGTCGTACTTCTGTGTTAGTGCGACTCCAAGTCCGCAGTTCGACGCATCTGTTTGCAGGTAAAATGTTTTTGAAAAATCGGGGCATGCTAATACTGGGCCGATGTAAGTTTTGATTTTAGCTCTTCAAACGCGTTTTCTTGCTTATCGGTCCATTTCCATCTTATCTTCTTCTTCAGAAGCATGTTTAGCGGTCCTGCTATTGTCGAATAGTTCTCTATGAATCGGCGGTACCATGATGTTATTCCTAGAAACCGGCGGAGTTGACGCACATTTCTCGGTGCTGTAAGTCCGGTTATAGCGTTGGTTTTTCTCCGGGTCAGTTTTTATTCCTTCTGCTCCAACCACATGTCCTAAGTATCTGAGTTCTGACTGGCAAAACGTGCATTTTTCAAAGTTCAGCTGTAACTTGGCTTCTTTCAGTCTTCGGAAGACTTCCTGTAGGTGATTTAAATGCTCTTGGAGCGTTTTAGATATACTACGATATCATCCAAGTAGGCAAACGCGAATTCCATATCAGGAGGTATTACCTTGTCCAGTAGGCGTTGGAAAGTGGCTCCTGCGGAATGCAGTCCAAATGGGGTGGTTTTGAACTGAAAATGGCCTTTTCCGGGTACGCTGAATGCTGTCACTGGGCGGCTAGTTTCTTCTAGGGGTATTTGAAAATATCCCTGTTTCAAATCGAGGGTTGATATAAAATTTGCTTCCTTGAGTCTATCCAGAATTTCCGATATTCTGGGTAACGGATATGCGTCCTTATCTGATAGTTCGTTGACTTTTCTAAAGTCAATGCAAAACCTGTACGAGTTATCTTTTTTCCTAACTAGTACAATCGGTGAACTCCAACCACTTGTGGAGGTTCGATGGTTCCTTCTTTTAACATCTTGTCTACTTCTTGGTTGATGATCTGCAGCATTGCGGGATTGTGTCGTCTATAAGGCTGTTTGACTGGATCGCATTTTGTCTTCAATTTTATTTCGTGTTCTATTAAGTTAGTGGGTCCTGTTATGTTCTCAAACTCCCTTAGTTCTTTTCTTAGAAACCTTTCTAGCTCTGTATTTTTGGTGGAGTCTTTTAAAGTATTACATGCCTCTTCTTGATGTTGTACGAATTGTTTGCTCGTATGTTTATCGAATTTAAGTTCGATAGAATGGTTCCTAAGGAATTCCACTCCTAGTAAGGCATCTTCCGTCAACCCTGGCATTACTATGAATGTTTGTCGGGTTTGTAACCTATCGATCTCGCATTCAATCGTCAACTTCTGGTTAAGCTCCATTGACGCTCCATTTGCTAGTCTTGTTCTCCCGCTGTAGCTATCTAGAGAGTCTTTGTATGTCTTAGCTATTCTATCCCCGACGTAATTTTTAGTGGTTCCTGTGTCGATGAGCGCTCTGTATGTTCTTTGCCCTATTTTCAGCGATGCGAACAGCCGAATGTCATTGCTTGCTGGCTGTGTAACGGCGAAAACGAATGGAGTCGAATCTTGCTTTACAGACTGGGACGACTCCTTGTTTCTCCAGTCTGTAGTTCGTTTCCCTGACGCCTAAAACAGCAGTCGCTACTGTAAACCCCTTCTCTGCCGCAACGCGAACAAAACTTTTTCCACGGGTTTTGCAGTTTTTACGGATGTGACCTGGCATCTTGCATCTAAAGCATGTCGTTTTGGCATCGTACTCTGCTTGGTCCGTGCGTCTCCAGTTTCCACGGCAACTCTGATTTGATCGGTTCTTTTCGTCTTCTAAAGCTTCGTATTCTTGGGCTAAATCTTGTAATTCGGCTAAGTTTTCAAAATCTCGGCGGCGAGCATAAAGCTTATATTCTGGTAACAGATTTTTGTATATCCTTTCGAGTTCTTGGTTTCTGGAAAACGATCCTTCTCGTCTGGTTAGTGTTTGAATCTCCGTGATATATCTATCTACCGGCTCATTTTGTCTCTGTTTTCTGTTTCGGATTTGCTCCTCTAGTTGCAGCAAATATCCTCTGGGATAGAAAGCTTTTTTAAAATCTTCGCTGAAATCTGCCCATGACTTCCAATTTTTGTTATTGTTTCTGTACCATAACAAAGCGTGGTCTCCTAATAACTCTGGTAATGCTCTTAATAGATCTTGTTTATCGATCTCGTAGGCCAAGCTTAATTCGTCTATCCTCTCTAAGAATCCTATTGCATCCGAATGTTTCTTGTCGAAGTGTGTGTTCCACCTTCGTACTTGATTTAGCAATTCTGATTGCCCCATTTGTTTCGCTATTGTTAATTCTTGTAATTGTCTTCGGATGCCCGAAATTTCCTGGGCCAGTGTGTCGGATTCTGTTCCCTTGGAAGTTTTTTCTTTTTGCATTGCTCCTGTCGCTTCCTCGCGATTTTTAAAATATATCCTGAGTCGTACTCTCAATTCGTCGACGGTTCCCTTGGAATCTAAGCCGAATTTTTTCGGCCTCGCTCTGCAATTCCTCTTTGCAAAGTTGGTTTATCCAGGATGTACCTGTTACTGAGTCTGTGTCCTTATCTGTCGGCATGTTACTAATTTTTTTTTTTTTAGTAACTTTCCAATCCTCAATTTTTCTCGGGCGCCAATTTGTAACGGGTAGCTCTTTCAGGACGACAGGACTCAGTAAAACACAGGTTAAAATAAAAATATGTCTATTGATCTAATATATGTACAATATAAACGAAAATAAAATAAATTCTGTGCCGTATAAAAATAAACGTAGAAATTAACTCTGCGCTCCGTCTGGATCCCGCGATGAGTGAATCCCCGGCGGACGTCTATAAAAGAAAGAAAGAAAATAATTATTAATAACAAATAAAATAGGTGTAGTCAATCGCACTCAGACGTATATTCGCTTCCGCTTCAAACCAGCGGGAGCTGCGAACACACTCGTCAACTATAAAATCGCTTATGCAGGTCCGCGATAAAGTTCAAGACACGATATCGGTAGACTCTGCTTAATTATGGACGGAGCATGAACTTCAAAGCAGAACTACCTCCGTCCGGGTGGGCTCGCCAGTTCAGGACACTGGCGAAGAGAGGAGCCTAAGGCGCTAAGCTAAAGACTGACTAAATGCCGCTATTCATATGCCTTAAATAGTTGCTCTGAACCCCACTCACATCGTGCTAAGGAGGTGGAAGCGCCAACGCTGACACTCCTACGGTTCAAGCTGTTGAACGGTGATGACATCGTTACACGGTAAGTAATCATTTGCTTCCACCTATTCCTAGATTGATTTTGAAGAAAATTTATTGGGTTTTAATTTACATCATTCTAACATAATCGCTTACTTAGTCATGCAACAGGTCTTTTTTCTTGCAGTCTTGCATTTAATAGTTTTTTTTTTTGTAGTCCTTAATATATGACCTGCCCAACTAAAGACGCTGTAGGTGCCCATTAGAGCAGAAAGTGCACGACAATAATACCATTTGGCAGAAGATCGAGAAATTTTCCCAATAAAGATCACCAACGTCGAATAACTCTGATATTGCACGTGAAAAAGAAGAAGGTCTTCATTATATATCTGGTTTATAGCAAAGAATTGTGTTATAGCTAGAATTATTTTTCTGCTAAGTTGGGCATCGCTTATTTTATCCTTTGTAATGTTGACTTCTAAATATATACATCCTTTTTTTTAATTGTCAGCTGTCAGGTAGGGTCATGTCACTATCTTCGATCGGCTTTGTACTAGGATCCTAGTCTTTTTCATTGGTAATTTCATTTGGATTACACCAAATCGGTTTTATATTAATTAAAAAATTTATTTTCAGAGGCCGAAGTAACGGAGGAACTAAAAGGCGGCGGCTTGAAATACAAAGATCAAGGCACGATGATGAGTTTAGAAAGACTAACTGTCATGATCGATCAGAACCATATTGGTTCTATCACTTCCTTGGGTAGACATTCAAGAAGCGGTATTATTAGAAGAGGTAGTCTATCAGCGGCTAGACCATCCATACCTAATGCTAGAACCGAGCTGCTTAAATCTGCTAACGAAATAAATCAACATAGAACTAGACAGAACAGTGAAAGGGTAAGTTAAGTTAATAGATTGAAATAAATAAGGAATATTGTTTTATGTTAAAAATAATATTTTTTTTATAAAGTAAAAGATATACCCCATTTTTAACAAAAAAATGAGTATTGAATTATAGGCAAATGGCCCCTAAATGCTACCATTTGTTCATCAATACAAAGGTTCTCTTCTAACTTTAACCCTAAACATCGTTTTCTGATAATATCATACAAAAGACGTACTCTATAGAACTTATCAGTACAGTGGGGATGTACGGTGGGTATAAGTGGCAACTGGCGAGTGGGTACGCAACTAAGTCGAGAGGGTAAGCAGTAGGTTTAGTTTTTTTATATAAAAAAAGCTTTCTGTCTATATCGTGAACTGACTTCCTTAGGGAGAGTGCCCACCAAACTGGCGTGGCAAGTAGCACGCGTCTAGCATTTTTCTTAAAATGTAACCAATGAAAACGAATGATTGGAGTGAATGACGTCACTGTCATTTTGGTGTGCGCTAAATCATTCGTTTTCATTGGTTACATTTTAAGAAACATGCTAGACGCGTGCTACTTGCCACTTGCTACGTGCCACGCCACTTTGGCGCTCTCACTTAGATATCAATTAGAATACTGCTGCAACATCACTCAACTATCATATCATATAAAAGACCCGTCAGGTCTCTTATAACAGCCGCACAAACGGCCTAAGCTCTTCTGGCAGAAGATCAAATATAGACCTTTTTACGGAAAATCTGAGCATCGAGGTCATGTATATGGGCTCGGTGGCCAAATCCTCTCGGGTGCCCAGCCAGTGAGGAGAACAAAATTTATTTTGCCAATTCGGCGGCTGAATGACTGAGTTCACACACTTTACGAGTAGAGTATTATCACCTCAGGTTGGTGGCACTCTGCGCGGGACATACAACTTTTTAGGGACTCAAGTCCTGCAGCGACGATCGAATTAGACAGCCTTATAGAAGCAATGAATGACAGCAGGATTGACCATAGGTATAGTGAGCTTATTTATAATATTTACAAAAATGCCACTATGACTGTTAAAATAGACAATAAAACCCGACCAATAAAAATAAATCGTGGAATAAGGCAAGGAGATACATTGTCGCCGAAATTATTCATAACGACATTAGAATATGCCTTTAAGATGATCAATTGGGACCACAGAGGAGTAACGATAGACGGCGAAAAGCTTAACCATCTCCGTTTCGCAGATGACATTGTCCTTATCACAGATAATTTAGGAGAAGCTACAGATATGTTAAACGAATTGGATTCTGCATTTTCGAAGGTGGGCCTGAGAATGAACTTGACCAAAACTAAGTTTATAACAAATTTGGTCCCCAATAACCATTTGACTATTCAAGACAAAGTGGTAGAACTGGTGGAGAAATATACGTATTTGGGTCATGAAATAAGAATCAGCAGGGATAACCAAACATGTGAGATCCAAAGACGAATTACTTTAACATGGGCAGCCTTTGGAAAACTGCGAGACACACTTAGGGCCAACATACCAATCAGCCTCAAAAGTGCTTGACCAATGCGTATTACCGGTAATGACCTATGGGGCGGAAACTATGACTTTAACCAAGACCACGGCTTCGAAACTGAGAATGGCACAGAGACGAATGAAACGGTCTATGCTGGGAGTGACGTTGAGGGACCGAATAAGAAACGAAGATTTGCGAAGAAGGACGAGTATTACTGATGTTGTGGAACGCATAGCGGAACTAAAATGGAACTGGGCAGGCCATGTAGCGAGAATGCACGATTCACGATGGACGAGCAAAATACAAATTGGAGGCCAAGAGCAGACAAACGCAGTAGAGGAAGACCACCTACACGTTGGGCCGACGACATCAGGCGTATCACTAAAAATTGGCAACAAAGAGCACAAAATCGTGAGGAATGGAGAAGTTTAAGGGAGGCCTATGTCTAGCAGTGGACGTGATAAATAGAGGCTGGATGATGAAGTCCTGCAGTAAAGTTTAGAGTATGTAAAGTAATAGGAAGAAAAGCCGACATGTATGCTATCCCTACATTTAGGTGGCCTAATCACAATAAAGTAAAACGAAGAGTATTTTATTACCCAGAGTACTCTTAGTAATCATTCAGTAAGATCATAAACCCCTTCGCTTAAGTCACTCGTCGGTGAGGGGTAGAGGAAAAGCCTGGTGGTCAGATAGGTACCACTTCTTTAGCAAATTGAGACCGGTTTGATCTTCGGATATCCCATTCTTACAATGTTATACACGTGTTCCAAGGGGCAGGGTTAATCACTTGCATAATTATGACCCGAGGGTCTGAAATGGTTAAAGAATATCATGTTTGTCCTCCTTTTCTACCATTTCAGTTTTAACTTTTACATATGTAGTGTAAATTCTAAAAAGTAATAATAAAGTGTTCATTTAAAATGCAGTTTGTTAAATCGAATGATATTAAAGTATCTGTCATTGATTGCTACCCTGATCAATTGAACAAAGAAATTGACTTAGAGTATTATATCACTCAATAGCTGTCTTTTTCTTAAACTTTTTACTTTTATATAGATAAAAATGTTTTACTTGTAAATGAGTCAACGGGCTAATAAACATATTCTTAATTTTACTTAAACAAACACTTTTTTATTTTAGGATGGGTCCGCAAGACAAATTTACCCATCCCTGAGCAGTCAAGGAGTAAACGGTTCAGTATTGTGTGAAAAAGAGGAAATCGTTTACGATGAAATCAAAAGAAAAGCACAGAGTTATAGCTCCGAAAAAGATGAAACATTGTACGATGAAATCAAGAGAAAACCTGAGATTAACAGCCAAGATGATAAAAGCGATTCAGAAAAATTATGATATCCAACAGCAAGCATTTTAAATAGGTCGTAGTGAACTTTAATTAAGTTTTCACTAGTATTAAGAAATAATTTTAATAAAATTTTAACTTATTTATTTATTCAATTATTACACATATCCAAAAAATAGTCCCTTTTATATAGGTTGTCCTACCTAATGTTATAAATTGTGTTTTGTATTTACCTAACACAAAGTTGGTGTACAGCGTGTATATATGTTGGAAATTATTAGTATAATTTCCGTGTATGTGGACTGTATTATATAGGGCTGGTTCAATAAAATTAGGATAAGTAATAAAAGGTATACAGACAATAGCAAATTAAGTTTATAGAAAGTCTTACCAATATTTTTTCTGCCCCACACTCTCACGGTTGTTTCCGGTCTTCACTCGGTTATTCTTCACCCGCTAAATCTGTCCGATGCACCGGTTTCTGAATACGTGTTTCGCAAATATATCACGATATAGAGCACACTTTGTCTGCACACGATTTAATACAGTATTTTTGATATTTCTCGCGTAACTAAAGCGGGAAAGAGGTAATTACGATAGAAAAACAGCCAATATAGATGCTGTTCTTCTTAATAAGCGAAAAGAGAGAGAGCGTCTGGCTCTAGCGATGGCCAAATTAAGAGAGTTGAGAATGGTATGTCCTTAGCGACGGGCGACCATCAAGAGAGTGTCTTTCTTCTTTGCTATCTTGAAACTGTCTGTATTTCTTAAGAGAGGGGGTTGAACTGTAAGTAGGAAGGGTTATTAAGGGTTGGACTAGGATAATGATTGTAAAATTGTGATATAAGGATAGTTAATAATACAGCGAAAAAATTACATGATTTTTCGCATGTGAGAAAATTGAACATGTGCCATAAAAGGCACAAACCAAAAAAATTTGTTTTTAATATTTTAGCTCAATTTTTGTCGTAGCTGCGTGGCAGCCTATATCTTACACGTACTAATAGTGTACGCGAGATATGGGGCATAGTTCGGACGGCGAGATAGGCAGCCGTACGCAGTTTTAAGTTCGTTCTTGTTGAAATTCTGAACCAGGTGAAAAATGATCGAAATTTGAGGTTATTTTTCATAGTAAAAAGTTTTTATGACGAGAAAAAATTGAAATTTATTGTATTGTGATATTAGATATCTGCTTAGGTAAGTAATAAAAATTAAAAATGTTGAAACTCTCTGGAAAACCCCAAAAAGGGTTTGTGCTATATATGACACTCTATGAAAATATTGGAGTCATTGATTGTTTTTGTAGATATGGATCCGAACCTCTTTTATTGTACAATTAATAAAGTTAGAATTCCAAATAGTACTAATAGTAAAGAATCAGATCTCTGCGATGAAGATGGCACAAATGAGATGATATTGTTTCAAGATAGTGACAATGAGGACCGTAAAAATTTACCAAGCAATGTCAAGAAAACTGTCATTTCTGACACATCCTGTCTGAAAGACTACGATATGAAAGAAAGAAATCTCTAGAAAAAGTTACCTTTCTCATTACAAAATTTCTTCTCTAAAGTTTTACTAATCTATTACTACTATGATTAGTGGTCCGCTTTGACTTGTTTTTGATTTTTGGTCTAATTAAATTTTTTACACAATCTCCTTTAAAGCTACTAATTGAGCACTTGATAAATAGTGGTTAACTCGCTCAAGATCCATTTTTAACATCAAAAACTTTTCAAAGACATTTGTAGGGATTATAGTCCCACGGCACATTCGATAACTTCTGAAGCAGACAATATCGCATAAAACTGCGTCTGGCGTACATGTTCTGCATACGTAGAAAAACATGGTCTCAAAAGAAAATTTATGACACATATCTAGATGGTAAATCCATGACGAATGCAAGCCCATAAAGATAAAGTGATTCGGAAGCTCCGCTGGATATCGAGGTTATCGTAGTATCCGAGACAGAATCGGCATGAGAATTTTTATTATTTTGCACAGGTCAAAGGAACCGATTTCTAAAGGATTCCAACGGATCTTGGCGGATTTTATCTGAGAAGTTTTTTGATGGTCCTTTTATATTTGAATTTCAAATGCATCAAACATAATATTTAAATTTTTATTTGGTTATAAAATTATTTGTTAGGTTAAATATCTGTTATTTATAATTTAATATTAAAAATTCCAACATTTATTACGATAATTTTTTTTATTTTTATAAATAATTGTTTGCAAATTTTAGTTTATTTTCTTCTTCTTCCTTCAAGTATGTAGGCTTTAAAGCCTGTTTCTTCTTCAATATTAGCCTCCTAAATTGTTTAAATTGTCGCACCATCTTTTTATTGGTCTGCCAATACTTCTTCGTCTCCACTCATGTTTCGTTTTGTCACCCATCCGGGTTACACAATTGAACTGTTACCAACTTCACATCGATATATCTGGCCAACAGATAATGACAGCTACGTCAAAGTTGGCCTGATAACACTTCAGTATGTTTATAAATCGTCAAAAGCATTTGCATTCAAGTTGTATACATATAACAAAAGTTATTCGCAATGGAATTTAAACGTAATAGTGTGAATGCCTTATATTTGACTGGGAAATCATAACCAGCTATTGTTCGTCAGCTCAAACACCTCAAAGTGAATAAAATGTTTGTGTATCGCACCATAACTCGTTATAACGATACTGGCAGCATTGCTAAACGCTATGGTGGTGGACGAAAAAAAAAAACAGCAACATCACCTAAAATGGTTTGAAAACTGAAGGCTCGACTTGAGCGAAATCAACGTCGTAGTGATAATCAAATGGCCAAAGAACTAAAAATATTCTAGCGAAGCATGCAACGAATATTGAAAAAGGAGCTCAAGGTCAATTCTTACAATTTCAATTGCATAATCCTGTATATGTCTTCTATATTGCATGCTCTTCATATGTTTTCGCTTCTCTTCCTATCTAACAGACTTCTCCCTGATATTCGTCGGAGTATTTTCATCTCTGTTGTTTCCAGCAGTCGTCTCGTTTTAGATGTGTCAGATCTTGTCTCCGCCGTGTATGTTAATATAGGTCCAATTGCTGCTTTATAGATTCTTGTTTTTGTGTCTTGTCTAGGTGTCTGTTCTTCCAGATTGTGTCATTAAGAGAACCCGCCGCTTTACTTGCTTAAGCTATGTTGTCGTACTTCTTCTTCAACATCTCCGTAACTAGTTATATCTATTCCCAGATATCTAAACATCTGCTTCCTGCTTTATTATTTTCCCATCAATTTCGATTTTACACCGTAATGGGTATTTAGATGTTGTCATACATTTGGTTTTTTCTGCTGATATTATCATATTGTATTTCTTAGCTGTTATATTGAAGATGTGTGTTAATCTTTGGAGCTCGTTTTCTGTCTCGACAAATAATGCGGCGTCGTCTTCATAACATAGTATTTGGATTTCTTTGTTTCCCATTCTGTAGCCATGACCTTTACGTACTGCTTGTATTATTTCGTCCATTATTATATTAAAGAGAAGTGGGCTCAACGAGTCACCCTGTCTAACTCCGCTTTGTACTGGTATGCACTGTGTTAGTTTTCCATTTTTTATCTTTGCCTGTATTCGATTATGGAGGTAGATGTTTTCGATAGTTTGTATAATATTGATTGGTATGTTCTTTTATACAGTAGGTGTAAAACGTCTTCGAGTTGGATGCGATCGAAAGCCTTTGTCAGGTCTATAAGACATAGATATGCTGGTTTATTGTACTCGAAGTCGCGTTCATGTTCACAGCCGGTCCTTAGCCCGGCTAGAAGAGGAGGGTTGATGGGTCACGTTAGCAATCTCTACCCATTGTAAAAGAAGACAAGGCTCAAAAAACCGATATAAAGCCTCGGTTCATTTTCAAAAGGTAAAAAAAAGGAAAAGGCTTATTTTCAACTGGTTTGACTAAAACTAAAGCGAACGGTTTCGGGTTTCTAAAATTTCAGCCCATTATCAGATTCACGACAAACAGTTACTAAAACTACTAAACTTCTTCTTCTTCTTATGGTGCCCTATCCAATTAGTGGATGTTGGCGACAATTCTGGAATCCTCCTCTCGATCTTGTGTGGCTCTAAAAAGTGCATGGGCATCGAGATTTGTCAAATTCCTTATGTTTTTAAGCCATGAGTATTTCTTTCTTCCGATGCCACGTTTTCCTTCTATCTTCCCTTCCATAATAAGCTTTACGAACTGGTACTTGGAATTTCGAAATATATGACCCAGATAAGCAGTTTTTCTTCTTTTTATTATTGGCAGCAATTCTCGTTCTCTGCCCATTCTATTTAATACTTCGACATTTGTTGTGTGATTTGTCCAGGAAATTTTAAGTAGACTACTAAAACTACTACTAAAACTTTAACTACTAAAACAAGGAACAATAATAACACATTTTTATTAAATTTGGTTCATATATAGAACTAGTATTGGCTTTTATACTTTTATATTATCCGTAGTACTGGTTTTTTATTTATAATTATTATTTTTTTTTTTATTTAATTAATGGCTTTGGATACTTGATCCATTCAGCCACGATAATGTATTTGACTACTTGAATTTGTTAATGATGTATTGACCTATTGCATTTGTTAACAAAATAGTACTTCGCATAGAGGTAAATTAAAAATATAGTGTAAACATCAGTATCACAAGAATCAGTAGCTTGATAAAAAACCATACATTCATTCGTTCCATTCAATGCCCTAGCCAACAATATTTAGGACCCACAAGGGATTACATAATATAGGGATACTTTTCACGCTAAGGTGCCTTTCATAGCGACTTTATTACAACACAAGACAGGCAACGGTTAGAAGGTAACTATATAACATAAGGATAGACAGAGGGAACAAAGCTAGATTTACACATTCACATTACACATTCAATCCTAAATTTTTCTTTTAGTCCTTTTTAAATATTCCCAAAAAATTTGGTTAAACCTAATATTATGACGACAGATATATAAAATGGAAGATTGACACTGAGGGAGAGGTATTTGTTCTTTTATCAGTTTTTCCAATAGATACTTAATAGCAGCTTCAATATATATGCACCCGAACATCCAATGATTGATATCGTCAGTGTTACCATTACAATCACAAAGTTAGGTTTCACTTAAATT